CGCATTATAACGGGTTCTATCGTACACCAAATCTCGTTTATCGAGAACGTTCAGTATTCATAAAGGAGCCATTCCTTGTCGCTTCCTCCGGAGAACGATAAAAGTCGCAACGCCCACCAGCGTCCTTAAGAACGCGGTAGACACCGATGACTAATTGGCGCTTTCCGAAGCGAAATTAACCGATAATTTGTAAATTTTCACCGACGTTAATTAACGGCCCGCGCGGACGTACGGTTAATTTGCCAACCCTCCGTACCGCGGCGCGCGGTGTGCCCCCGCCGCTGAAACAATGAGTCATTATTTCGGTCCAAGGATCGCGGGGAAACGATTCGCCGGCGATGCAAATGAATATACGCGCCTACCGAGACGCGCGGCTTGTAACCGATAATGCTGTGATGTAACTGTAACCGGTAATACCGTGATGTAATGCATCAAAACCAGTTATATCGGCTGTTATCGTACGTTTCCCGTGATAAGATCGCTTGCCGCGCCGGCGAGTAATCGCTCGTCTTTGTCCTTCGCTAAATCACCGGCAGGAGAAAGAGATTCTCGCTTTCACCGATAACATCTACTTACACACTTACTTACGCGAATCGTTCCCGCGAAACAAATTACTAAATTGCAAGATGGCGGCACTGGAGACCGATTGCGCGGCGACAAGCGACACGGGACGGATCACCGCTCGTAGAGACACGCGTCTCCGCTTCGCGTAATTGAGACGTTCTTATCGCGATCAAGACGAGGGGTACACTTGATAGAACGTAATGGATAGTACGGAGATTTAGTTACTTCAAGGACAAATTGTTTTTTCTTCAGATTGGACTGAGATGATAACCTCTGTTTCAGTTTGTAAGAGAATTTAAACTTGGCACACCAATTTTGTCAATCGGTGCCTTCTTAACTAGTTAACTGCGTTTAACGAGTATACGCGTCGTCTTAAAGCTTGGAATGATACTGATTCTTTCAATGATCAATTATTCATTTTTTCAGATAAACATGTAATTCTTCTTTACTTTGCTTTGGTTTTTCATTCGTTCTGTGTTTGACGAATGCAAACTTCATTTTTTCATTTTATTACACGCGAGAGACTTTTGAAATTAAATTTCACGGTTAACAGATTAAGGGAAAACGTTCCCGAGTCTCAGGGTGCAATAAACAGACCGAGAGCCACGCTAACAAGGGTAGTCCTTCGACTAAACAGTGGCATTCTCCCGGCACTCATTTTGTAGCCTTCGAGGTGACAACCTCGAAATAAAAAGGTTCTATCCAACAGTCTTTCAACATTATTTAAGCCCACAAACGCATATCCTACAAATTGCTGTTTGCTTTGGTTGGACTCTGGGCAATTTTGATGTTTATGAATTATCGTAAGTGAGTTAGGAAATAAAGAACATTTTGGAAAATGTGGATTAATGTTGTTTGTGCAAATGTATCCATGTTTTCAAAAAACTATTCAAGAAATAGTTATTATGCATAATTCGGAAAAACTTTTTTACAAAATGTTACTCTGGCCATAGACAGTGAAACTGTTTAACAGTAACAGCAGTAGAAATATTTACGAGTAAGAAAAATCGGACTTTTCATATGCACCAACCTAATAATTTTCTAAAAGGAAGAAATTATAAAATCAGAAATAAAAGAGTAGGTGAATTTTTGCGTTCAAGTAATTTTATAGTAGGATTATAATATAACAAGACTATATTTAAAAATTTGTAACTTACTAATATCACTTTCGTCATCATTGATTAAATCTAATATTGTATAACTCGTCATACGTTTAAATAGCATATATACTACACACGAAACATTTACTAATCCTCGTATTCTTCACCTTCCATTTTAGTCTTTTTGCCTCCTAATTATACGATCTGGACCACTGTGCGTCGGTCCGCAGCGAACACATTAAAGCCACCTACACACGTTGAAATACGTTGCGATACGTCGACTTTCAAGTTTTATGTTACATATCACAACATACATATACAATTTAGCGTCGACGAATTAGTATCAAAAGCTACTAAAATCGCCAAACAAACCAATAATCTATGGAGGCAAATTGCTGCAGATTTCACGATACCTAGAGCTAGATGGATGCCTCGCAACTAGAATTCTGCGAGACCTGAAAACTACCAAAATCCCTATAGTCATAACAAATCAGAAATACATTACTACAGTAATTTCCTAAATAATAATTGCAACAGTAACTGGGGGTCGCGAAAAGTTATTATCCCATCAATTACGTTTTTCATCATTTTTCCCATTTAAAATTGTATTACTATTATTTTGTAAAATAAAGTGGAAGGCACCAAGATTAGATTTTTCTTAAATGAGAGTATAGTAACAAAGTTTGGAAATCATCGATCTGAAAGATCAAAAGTTCGAAACCATCGTCGCATTCGTCAAAACGCGCCCGAAAACAACAGTAGAGATGTCAAAATTTTTCGGAGTCCCAAACAATTTCGAAAATCCCAAAATTTCTAGAACCCCGTCCCAATCCCGAAAACATTTCTAATCCCATGCCAATCTAATGTTTTCGACATCTCATATGTGTTCGCAACATGTCCACCATTGTGCAGGGGGCTTAATGGTCGAGGAATCGTCCGGGGTCGCGCGGGTCCAATTATTTTCGTGGGTCGGTAACGAACGGAGACCGCGTTCGTCCGTTCATGGAGATGGAAGGAACCGAGTAGCGGTTAAATATATCGTTCGCGGAGAGTTTCGGGGACCTCGTTTTGCTCGATGGTTACCTAAAACGCTCACGGTTTCGAGAGGTACACGAAAATAGCTATGGACTCGGACCGACCGGCTCCCGAAATACCCAACACCATAGATTATGGTCGCGTGTAACGCGCGTGCACGCTGAATTTCGACCGGCTCGCCCCTACCTGATGAATGTTGGGAACGATTAAATGTCGCCGCGCGCTTCCTAAGTCGTATATCATTTACCGTTGGATGCTCTTTTGACGACCGCCGAGCTGTATGACGCTGATATATGCCAGCCTAACGCCGGTCAATTGTCGGCGCCTCGGCCGAACATTTTATCCGACGCGGTTCACCCGAATCGCACGCAGTTCGCATCTATTGCTAGGAGATCGCTTGATGACTAGCTTGAGGAATTCGATTCATCGATCGGTTTTCATTTTTTCTCAATCAATTCTCTGTTGGTCTTGTTTCCTAATTCTTGATATTTTCGACCACTAACTTGCTATTCGTTAATACGGTTACACGCAACTAATTAAAATTATAAAACTGTAAACTAGAACCACGTATCTTCACAGCAAGTCATCTTTCAACTGTATCTGACGGAAAGTGGTCGATCGAACAAATCAACTGGCTGTCGTAATAATTATTCACTTAACGGCTCCGGGAACACTCTCGTCGACGTGGAGGAAAGTACGGTGATAATTGGCCTAGTGAGTAAATGAAATATTTATTCGCTGAATGAGGTTAGCTCTTCGAGGTGAAGAATGTTTGTGAGATTGAAAGACGATTTGGGGAATGTTCAGCGGTTACTAGAAGTTGAGAGAATTTTTGTATTTAGGGACTTTTTGTTGTGTTGAGTAGGTTTTAATATTTTATTGTGTTATATTGTTTGATAGTAGTTATATGCATATTATTAGGTAATATGCGGAAAATACTTATAATTTTACCAAACGCAAAAATTATGGATTTATTGTTCATAATAAAATTTGTAACTGTAAGAATTGTTTAAATAAAATTATAGTTTTAATATCTTGCAGTCAATCTTTCGAAGAAAATGAGTATTTTATTTGTCGTGGAATATGAAACTATTTTAAATGATTATTTTATGAATTATTTATGTATATCTTTAATATGCACACGAGATTTATAGTTAATAAAAGTTGCATCAACATATGAAATAGTTTGATAACTCTGAGCAATACTCATTCATTGGGTAAGATATTAACGCTGTTGCACGTGTGAACTGTGTTTCGCTTCGTAGACACCGGTGACTTCAATGCCAGCGTAGGAGAGATTTTATGAGTCTGACCAGCTATTCAAATATACACAGAATCGGGCAGACGTAAAAATTCAATGTAAATGTCGTAGTACATAATTTCATATCTGAATTGTGAAACCGAGAAACTAGGTACAATATTACTTTTACCGTTAACTATTTTCTTAACTGTTAGTGTCGTTCATTATTATCGAGCACGATGTGGTTTAACTGGTTTCGTTCGCATGGAAGTTAAGATGTAATATATTTTGACGGTTACGATCATCTAATAATGTTTCAAAATAAAATGAGGTTTAAAATGATTTTCAATTTTTAAAACATGATGGTTTAAAATGATCAGAAGAAAGATCAACATATAGGATAATATCCAAAGTGATTATATTTTTCTTGCATTTCTTTCATGATGAATAATATAACATGCATATTTTTAATACACAATTAAAAATCATTTCTTTAATACCTTATTTAAACTGTTTCAAACTTTATTTAACATTGCTATTGAAATAAAATAAATACGTATTCCACGAATACGCATTTATTACTTCAGCAGTAATGTAAATCGTATAAACTGTCATCATAATATTTATCTTTATTTAGTTAGTTATGAAAATATCCACTGACAAAATTTAATTTTTCGAACAAAATAATTTACTTAGACGCTGAATACTACAAAAAACAACAGTGTTTTATGTATCACTTATTCTTTTCCCATCAAAAATAAAAAGGAAGAATTATTAATTATTTGGTATCACAATTCTTACGTTACACTTATTCGACATTAATAATCTTGTAAGTTATAATTATTTTCTTGTAATTTTGAAATTCCGGTCATCGGTGACGGTCGTGGCAGTTAACGTGTTAATAATATTTTACCACCTGTATAATAGAATTGATTATTTTAGACAAATTTCGAACTATGTTCAAGTTTTACGGATGATCCATTAAGAGTGGCCGACTTCCAGACACCGAGAGATTAATACATTAGTCATCTAATTGTAAGATAAGATACGATGGCCCTTACTTGAAGTAGAGCGATCACCAGACGCGTTTCACCGCTCTGCACAGCGATGGTGCTTATGGTGGTTGTCGGTGTCGTGGTTTGTTGCGGCGCGTCCTCGTTGCTCTCCATCACCGCTCGTGATTCCTTCTCACGAGGTCCATCACTGTTCTCTGTCGTTTCCATCGCGTCGTGGCCGTCCACCATTCTCGTAATTCTCTTCTTCGTCGCGGGAAAATAGAATCGTTCGAACTATTCGTGTTAATCGATTTAGCGATTGCCTCGATGTCAACTTTATCCTCCTCTTAGTTTCGCCTGTGCGAAACCTTCGTTATTCTAATTACTCGTTCACAAGAATTATGAATAATTCTATAATTTCAAATGTGTTAATCTTTATTTTTGTATTTTTGTGTAACATATTTATTGATTATACGAAGTAGAACATTTTCTTTTGGAATATTAAATTTTGTTGTCTATACTATACGCATAATCAAGATATTAATATTACACTGGATAAACTTTATCGAGGCTAATATTTACTAACTATAAACGAACATCACAAACAGTTCCTGTGAGACAAAGTCAGAATGCTCAATTCATTATAATTTCCTTCACAAAAATTTATCTTATTTATTCATAATTATTACAAATTGTCACATGTAGTTCATAATTTTTTACTGATCATAAATTCGTAATCTTCACTTCTCATAAAATTAATCCTCTATAGGCTGCATTTTTTTCGTGACATATACATTGAACTTTCATACCTTAGCGTATCAAAGTTTAAGTTAATTAATTACTTAATATTATTCGCCACTTTGCCATTTAAAATGAAATAAATCAACAAGACGCCAATATATTGGTATGTGACATCAAAATCATACGAACCTATAGAGGGTTAACACTACGTCTACCGAGCATTTAATATGATCGATATGCAATCCATTTAAAAATTGCAACAATAGATTATTTTCAGTTTATTGGGATATTCCTCACGGTATTGAAGTGAAACTGTTTATTTTCGAAATCTAGTATGATGAGATATCTCGTAACAGGGTTACTAATTCTCAATTTTCATACAATTCATAATCTCCAGTTTCTTCAATATCCATAATCTCCAATTCCCTCAAAATCCATAATCTCCAATTCGCTTCCAATCCCTAATCCCTCATTCGTAGAAGCAAATTCAACCCAAATCGTTTCACATTTCCCTCGCCATAGGGTCAACAAGAAGCTTGAACCGACAGAATTTCCCGAAACACGGAACTCGTTAGGTCCGTCGTGCACGTGAAGCACGGAATTCGACTGGCCTCGCTCCAAAAACAGAGCTTCTTAGGTTCTTAGCTACCGATAGATGAAAGTTTAATAGTTCCTGTCTATCCGCGGAGAATTAGCTTCGACGTTGATCAACGTTCCGCGTGCCGTCGCCTCGTCGTGGGTACGCAGCGCGCATATCACGCGGAAACGTTCGCCGGGATCGGAATTGATGTCGCTCGCTTCCCTCTGGGAAGCAAAAGTGACGTTCTCCAGTTACCGCCGCGCCAACGCCACTGATTAACGTTATTTTTGGCGGCACGCCAAATGTACGGCGCGGACCCTGCGAATTCCGTGGACACGCGGCGACAATTCCTCGCCGCGCAGCGAAAAATTCCGCCCGCCCGCCTCGCCTCGCCTCGCCAATCTTTTTCTTCTTCACTCGATCATTCTTTCCGTCCAGACCAAAGTAACGTGCAATCGCGGAATAAATTATGGTAGATGTTCGAGGAGATAAAAATAGACGTTTAAATCAGGATTCCGTGCGCTACGCTGTTCGAGCGCAAGCTGGTGTCGACGAGACCTCGCAACAGGTAAATGTAAGTTTGATTGCTGAGACGGGAGAAGAGATGGGAATAGATGAGTAATTTATTAATGCGAGACGAATGGTTCGTTAAGTTCCTTTAAAATTTTTAAAGGAAGGAGTGTAAAATTTGCGAATGATGGGGAAGATATTTGTAATGGTTTCTCTAAATTACGAGTTAGAGAAGAGAAGTGAAATTTGTGAATACTAAAGAAGAAACTTGTAATGTGATTTCCTATTGAGATTTTCAAACGTCAAAATGTAGAAAATAATAGATGATAAGTGAATCGAAAACAAGTTAATGCCAGATGAGTGGTCTATTAATAATAGAGAATTTTCTAATGGGGTTTTTGGGTAAGATTTGTGAAGGAAAGAGGAAAATTAGGATGGTTTCTTAAACTTATGATGTAAGTTTTTATTAAGAGTTTCAGAGGGAAAAATCTAGAAGATGATAGACAAGACAATTGAAAAGATTTTAATGAGAAACTAGTTTAGTTAAGTTATATAAAATTTGTGGAATGAATGATATTTAATCTAAAAGTTAAATAAAAATGTAGAAATAATGAAAAGAGGCAAATTTGGGGGATCTGAAGGAGGTTAAAAATATACTGAAAGTTGTTTGTTGGATTTTTCATAAGATATAATAGACATTAAAGTAATACTTTTTCTGTGGTTGTCATGAAAAAATACATTGATGAATGCAGTAGTTAAGTTTTAGAATTTCGATTGGAAAATCTAGTTGGACGACTGTGGCAATTTTATCAATTACACTAAAGTACGTACGGATATTATTATTTTATACTGTCTTAATTACTATTTGGAATGGAATTATTCAGTCTCGCGATACTTGTAATTACATGTATTCATACACCTGTGGACATGTAACTGTCAGAAAAAGTAAGCCAGTCATTTGCTAACGGAAAAAGTATACACAGATCGTAAAAAAACTTGTTACTGGAAAGAAATCGTTGACGTAGACACGGAAGAAGTTAGACATTTCGAATACATGAACAGAATATTTTTATCTCTTAGTGTCACCCTCTATAATTTATGCAATAATAAAGATATAAATGTATTCTTGATTTTATGTAGACATATTACGTTTGAATTTATAAATCACTTTAAAATAAGCGCTTTAAATATAGTTCAATAGTATTTTTCAAGGCAAGAGTTCATAAATATCCACGTCTATTTCGGAATTTCGTCCGCTTTTTTCAAAATTTTTATTTACTTTTCTCATAGAACTTCTTCCTTATCACTGCAGTTATGTAATGAAATTATAAACCAGTAAAAATGTACAACAATTTCTAAACTGAAAATATTTATACCACGATTTAGAGTAAATAAAACAACTTACGAAGACAAACAATTGGAGAATGATAAAGAAAAACGAAGAATAACATATGAACATACAATACCACATAAATATTCAATAAGCTACATAGTAACCTCTACATGAAATAAAATTTTTCTGAAGAAATTCAAAACCAAACAGGAATCGCGAACATAACGAAAAAATCATCTACTCATTTAAACGCGCTAACGCTACAACTACCACACCCGTCAGAATGTGAATGAGGTGTTTCAATTTTCCTATTTCGCACTGATTGATATCTAACTGTGTTCAATATCCAAAATGATTAAAAAAAATGTTATAGTTTCGTTACAATTTTGTAAGAATTACATTAGCCACTCATTAGCTAAATCGGTTAACTCCGCAGAACAAAAAGTAGAGAAAAGTGATGCAATAGCCATACATCGATTTTCAAAATCTTCCTGTAAATAGAAAATTAAATAATCACTATGGAACATATTTTTGCATTTTTGTATGTATAAAATAGTATAACCCCGAAGTAATTTTTATTATTACTGTGAGTTTTGCATGGCCAAAAGAATTCTTCTTACTTAGTGGTGCCACACCCAATAATAAGGAAACTTATTTTAAATAAAAAAGAAGTTAAGAGCCAATGAATCGCTTTAACGACAAAATCTTAACAAATTCAAAAAGTGGAGTTGATCGATTTGGCCAAACGAGCAACTCACGTATTGATCCTACCGATCGCTCGGTAGTTCTAATATTAACACTAGTACTACCAAATGGTTCAAATTGGCCTAAATTATACTTTCCCAATTGTTAAAAAGATAATATATACTTCATTCTTAAATCATTTTCAATTGTTGCATTCTTAAAGTTGCTACAGTAAAATCTGAAAATGTTAATTTGACTGTTCGGTTGTTCTAGCGTTAAACCCGACATATCATTGAAACTCCCACCAAACAGAAATTCCTCCTCATCGTATCTAAAACAAAAACTGAAATCAAACGATAGTAAGTATCATCGGTCGCGTCTCCAACAAAGCTAGACCAGAAAGCATCTGGTCCCGTCCCAGTGGCTGCTTAATTACCAGCGTCCAATGGAACGACTATTTCAGATTAAGAGAGATCTGGATACACCTTCCGCTCGGCCCGTTGTCGGTGTGTTTATACTTTATATGTATCTTTGTACGGTGACGTCACCGACACGGCGAACGAATGGGAGGATAAAACCGGACTGACTGGTGGCGTTCTCCGAACGGGAGGTTCACCACACCGCGACCCACGATCGAAGATAATCTCGTGGAAACAGGGGGAGTGAAGGAAACGAAAAAAAAGAAGAAATAAAGAAGAAGAAGAAGAAGAAGCAGAAGAAGAAGAAGAAACATGAAAAATAATGGCGGATCGACTCGAAATCCCGATTCCCGAAGCTGCGAGAGGCTAGTCCAGACGAGACGCGAGTTTCGAAACCTGGAGAAATTTTTCGCCTATATTTCGTTTACCGTTGCAGTGGGAAACAAGAGACGATATTTGAAGACACATGGAATTGTAGTGACACTAAGAATCATAGTGCGTCATGGGATGCATATCCCTTAAAACTGGAAATAGGAAGGATATCATTTTTGGTAAATGGTACAGTCTAATTCAATTGCGAAACGCCGTCTTTTACTAAGATTGAATTTTGGAATGTCAAGGATCTTCAGTTTTAAATTTGATTTAGAATTTAAATTTAATTTAAATTTAATTTACAATTCTGTTATTTTATATTTAATTTTAGGATTCTTTTATTTTGTATTTAATTCTGTAATTCTGTAATTATAAATTCAATTTTATAATTCTGTAATTTTAGATTCAATTTCGGAATTCTGTAATTTCAAATTTAATTTTAGAACTCTATAACTTTACATTTCATTTCAGAAATCTTTAATTTTATATTTAATTTTGGAATTCTCCAATTTCTCATATAACTTCGGAATTCTTCAATTTTAAAAGAACAAAAATCATTCAATTTCTAACAATCTTTGACTTACACTACGATCCTCAGTGTCAAATATCGAAAGACCTATGCTATCGAACAGACACAGTCCGAACACAGTATCCGAAGCGATGAACATATCGCTCACCTCGTCCAGACTTTCTTCCCAAAGTATAAAGTACAAACTTGCTTCTTCCCAATAATTATTAACCTTTTGCACTTGAAAGATGACTCTCAATCACCATTTCATATGATATAGCAAAATGATAAAATCTTACATACAAAATTAAATATTGTATAATACATTAATCTGTAAGACATTGAAGTAAAACATCTTTGTTTCTTAATTTATGTATGCTTCTCAATAATTAGTTTCAACAAATACCATCTATGTGCCCATCAGAAAATGTTGAATATTTCTACTAAAACAAAAACTCTCGATTGCAAAGAGTTAATAAATCAAAATTATTAAAACCATAACAGCAACCTCGGAGACACGATCGATGTTTAACCTCTTGCATTGGAAAGACGTACCAAGCACGTCAAGATATTTTTCTTTCAAAAACATTATTATAAATTTTTGGATTATTTCCAAAATTACCAGCATCTGTTTCACTGGCGAACTTCTCAATTGTAATATTCTATTCAACTCAGGAAACCTTCAAAATGAAATATTGAAAAAATGAAGTTGAAGCGAGTCATTGAATTCCTAAATATAATGCCGTATCTTATAACTTTAAATGAAAATATTTATGAGAGCAATCTCAGTTTCTTTATGTAAAATACACGATTACGGGCGTCACAGATACGTGACGTTGGTAGCGAACATGTTAAGCATCTGCATTGTTTTGAAATGTATTACTCCACACAAAACAATTAATAAATATAATTACACGTCCGCGTAAAATAGGTAAAAACGAAATTCTTCGGCAAATCGCTAAATGAAATTCCATCGCAAGAAGTTCATTCGATGTGGGCGCGTGACATTGTTTATAGATAGTCCGCACACATTTCCCGGCGACATCTTTCGATCGCTGGTGAGCAATGCGCGCAGACAGTCCGCAGACGAGCTCTGTCAAGTCTAGACTAGCCTTAAGGCTCGCGGATTCCGCGGTGCGGAAGCGTTCGGCTGGCATCGCCGCGAAACAATGTATTTATTCGGCGTTATCGGTCGCATTATGTCAAGCTAATTACACGTTATCTCGCGACCAGCCGGCCAGTTTGTAGAAACCGATTAACAAGCGACGCCCGACCGTTTAATGCATGCACGTACTTTTTTCTCGTTCCTTTTTCTCTGTTTCAATCGGGTTCAACGACTAAACACCATGTCGTCGCGCGAGCCGGCCGACGATAACAGTCAACAGAGAAAGTCCTACACTGATCATGGTGAAACTAAAATTCTGTATTCAACATCGATCATTTTCGAATTAAACAGATTTTTCCATGGATTTTCGAGGGTACAGAAGACAATAGATAATCAAGGGCGAAATGAAAATTGAGGTCGCTGGAAATGAATCGTATCGCTTTTGCGTATGGTTGTTGGAGTGTTTTCGAAATTGCTTATATAATATGTGAATATAAAATATACAATGAATATAATTGAAAAATTTCAATATTTCAACATTTCTGTTCTCTGCTATAGAAAAATATTAGCCTGTTGTTAAATTGAAGTTTCTGTTCGAATTGAGTAGACCGACAAATTTTTGGAAATATTTTTCCAAGTATTTTGCTTCTTTTGTTTTAGTTGGAATAATCGGATTACTTTCAGACAATCACCTAAATCGACCCACGTTCAAGCAGTGACAACCACAACGTATACCGCAGCAGCAGCAACACTCGCGTGACACATGTCACAATCGTGTCACAATACCGGTCGATCGGTCGCAGAAGCAAGCCGACCCGAGACTGAGCCGTCGGCCAGTTTCGAATGCCGCCGAGGCTTGTTCGGCCGAGGACGTGCCTTGTCGAGTTTGCGCGAATCATATCGAGTCTGAACGGACGCGCACGGAAACGGACGGAGATTTGTGACCCGCTGGATTCGAACGTGATCGAATACTTGACAACTTTGGCGAATGTGTATTTATTGCAGTCTTTGGCGATTTTTTTATAATATTTTATTTTTATTATAGGAGTCTGTATTCGCGTCTCTTGCGACTTTTGTTTTGGGACCGGTGCGTTCTGTGATTCCGGGCGACGGCATGCTGGCTAGTCAATTGTTAAATTTGTTTCTTGGTACTACCACCCTTAAATATTATCTCGTAACCATATAATTTTAAACAAAATTCATTACTCAATGGTATAAATTTATACTTTAGGGATAATTTATTTTCAATTATGATTTTGAGGGTGATCATATTAATTCAATAGATTTAAGAATAATCCCCTTGCTGATCCATTAAATTTTAGGGATTACTTATTTTTTAACGTTTCGCAGGAACGCTCGAGGCGTCGAGGTCCCTTTATGTATTATGTATGATTTGTAATTCTTTTAAACATATCTGTACCTTTATCTTCTTGTTTACGCCTACTAGATTGGCCCATTCCTACTTTTTGCAATTATTAAAACGATAATAGATGATTCTCTGAGAAATTATTAAAGAAAATGATTTGACAATACGCAAACTGAATTATAAATCAATTAAAGTCTCGGTAGATGCGCTGTTGGAGTTTCTATAGAGGAATTTCGAAAAGTCTATTACTGCTCGGTAGTTTTAGCTTTAAAGGAAAATTTGGAATCTGGAGTTACATGGAAACTGGAAGTATCTGATTTTTCCAGTTTCAACTGTGGGAACGTGATGCTGAGATGAGGGAAACGTTATTTTTTGACACAGTAGGAATGATAAATATACACATATTTTTCGATGACTACATATTGAAGATTTGTTAAGAATGAAATTAATTTAGGGTCCGATGATATTTTAAAAATGTTGGGAATTGTTCTTTTACTTAAAAGCTAGTTTGAATTGTTTTAATTTGTAGATTTAAGTAAGTATTAATGTGAAAAATTTGAATTTTTAATAATCAAAATTGTTCTTGATGATAAGAAATTTAGAAATCAGTTCTTTCATGATTATAGTTTAGTATTTGAAGTTAACGATGGTTTATTTCCAGTATGAAAAATTGCTGAGCGAATTCTAATCACATTGGCACTATATATTTACCAATATATATTTAAACTTCTTAATTATTTCTCAGAATATAAATAATAAAATATTTTTTAAGGAAATTGGTTATTAATTCTTAAACCTATCATTCAGTAAATTTACAAAATTGATTTGGTTTTGTTGATTAGTTACTTACGCTGTTGAGAGAATTTTATTCTTTGCATTACCTCGATTGAAAGTTTTCGTGACTTTCCTATCAGGACAATATTCGTGCCAGGAGCAACATTGTTAAGTTAAATACACCGATTATTAAGTCAAACATTTTATTTACAAACTCGACGAAAAAGCCATGCACACTGTAAAAACGTTACAAATACAACAACGTGATAATTAGAATTCTCATTCGAAACACGAATAATAACTTTTGATTTTCAAGTTAGAGGTTAAGGTGTTAAATTAACTGAGTTATCACAGTTATCACCGTTACACATATGTAATCTCTGTAACAACGTGTTCAACCCGATAACAGTAACGACATATCGCATGCATTAAACATTATTATTCATTGTACATTGACATTCAATACTTTATTACAAAATTATCAATGTATTCCACTATCTTCATGAACTCAATTTTTAAACTCACCACTTATAATCAGACCACTTATAGAACAATCAAAATTACAATTGCCATTGATCACAATAATAATAATTCCTTCCACAATAAAGAAGAAAAGGAAACTAATACATCGAGAACTTCTAATATCAGAAACCTTTAATTAACATCGAAGATTTACAAAATTTCCACCAAATTCTTGTAATTATTCCAACCTTCTAATTGGCAGATACTAATTACAAAATAAAAAATCTACTGACACAATAATGCTTCCACTAAGATCATCTAATTATGCATTGCAAATCACTTAATTCTTTAATGACGCATGAATTGCGTTTGAAATACAGTAGAATCTCGTATAACGCGATTAAAAAATTCTGTGTTGTAACGATTTCACGTTGAACTGTAGTAATTTTTATTTTATAAAACTATAGTAATCTTTCACTTCTATAGTTACTTCATAAAACTATAATCATTTTTCAGTTTTATACTTATTTCATATAATTACAGCTATTCTTCACTTTTATAGTCACTTCATAAAAATATAGTTACATTTCAATCATTTTTTAATCACGTTATTGTGGGTTCTACTGTAGGTACACATAGATGCACGCGAATCACACGAGACGAGGCATAGCTAGCTTGCATTAGACAGTGGCAAACGGCATCGATTATCATTCACGGCGGTAAGCTTGATGAAACTCTGCTGCGCGGAGTAGCGATCGAAGCAAGAAGCCTCGTGGCCGCAATTGCAGCTGCAGCAACACTCGTTCATCGACGGGCCGCCGATCGGACTCACCTTCCTCGCTCTCTCGAGGAAATCTTGTCCTTCCAGGCTGTCCTCCCTCTTCGTGGGCGACATTTCGATACCGCTGTCCTCGTGATGCCTGGTGTACTCTTTCAAAGACAACGTCATGTCCTTCGTCGCCTCCGCAGATGCTGCGAACGATTTCTGTTCTTCGCTGGTCTCGCTGACTTTCGTGAATTTGATCACGCGTTCGACGTCGTCCGACTTCGTCGACAACTCGTCTCTGCGACTGTACGATTCACCTGTCGAATTTTTTCGTCTTCACATTTTTAATTGTCCGGAAAATTATAATTACGAAATTGAAGGGTATTACAGATAGTACTAACACGTTGATTGCCGCACGATTTTAACCATTTGCACTCGATTCATTTGCAATGTTGTCGGATGTAAATTTGTATTCATTTTTAGGGAATTCAAGTAATTTTCAGCGGTAGGATTGAACGTTTTATATTTATTTTATTTATTTATTTATTATTATAGGATTTAATTTTTATAATCTTTTAAAATGTATAAAATCTTTTACTTTTTAAAGTACCACAAATAAGGTATAATAAATTTGTTTTGTCACCTTCAGCATGACATACGAGTGCAAAGGGTTTAGCTGCAAAGTATGCAAAATGAGAATTACAATATTAAATTATTTAATTGAATCTCGTTCTTATTGTCACAGGTTTATCTTGCTGAATACCATTGCATTAGGTAGCGTTATTTACAATATAGGAATGTGTTCATATAATCATCGTTTCATTGAGGAAATTGCCGTAATTGAATTTGGGATTACCGTGGCATTCAACGTGTTAACGAACATATAGGAATGTATTAATAATAATTTACAATAATAGTATTAATAGGAATAAAGAAATACTGTTTGCTTTGTTGAAGAGAAAGTAACTTTTCCTTCCTTTCAGTTAGAGATGAAGGCAAAACTTGTTGGGAATTTTAGGTGATTTATTTAATCGTCAGAATTTGGATTTATTAAAATGGAGGTATATCTTTCTTCTTATGGGCGTTATTTAATGTTTTAATATTTATTTTATATGATAGTGTTGTTTGAAGTAATGAATATGGGAAAGAGTAGGAACATTCTAGTTTGTAACTGGAAAATCTAGCTTCTGCGATAACAGATGTGTGAGATATAAAATATCGTCGATTCTCACTTTTTGGACCTAGCTCCGCTTCGTGATGATAACCGTTCGTTTTCTTGTAGCCTTCTGGTGTTACCATGCGCTCGAGATCCTTGATTTCTTTGACATCAACGTTTTCACGATGATCTTGCACAACATTAGATATCACTTTGTAAGATGCGACTCCCAGCCGCGTGTCATGCGATACGCGCAGAGTTGTAGTCTCTGTGACTTCCTTCACGATTTTGCCTGATTTCTCCTGCGATAATAAATAGAAAAGATTCATCGTACAATTTATATTTAATGAAACACTTGAAGTATACAAATATTCAGGGAAATTTACGTACATCTGCTCTCCTTTCTATTGACACAACCTTTTCAACCTTCTTTTCCCCAGACGTCTCGCAGATTTCTGGCTTCGAAATTTCGATTAATGTCTCCTTTTTCTCTGCTTCCGAAATTTTTGGAAGCTCGACGGCTTGCTTAACGACGCACGACGACATTGTTGCGGTGGCTGTGCCAAATTTTGGTTCTTCCACGTTCCACCTTCACAAATTTGAAGAGTCAACAAAGTATTAAAAATCATTGCCAATGAAAATAACCGTGATGCCATGTTGCTATGTGAATTTTGTCTTCTGATTTGCCATTGGATGGAAGATCAAATAGAAAAATTAAACTTTCAGATTTACAGATTTTCAGATATTCAAATTTTGAAATTCGTTTTACTTAAATATTTAATCATCAAATAATCACCACAGCTTAAATATAGCAACGTAATATTTTCTATATCCGTTTCATACCAAGTATCGCTCGTAGTCGTCATGGTTGCTGGAGCAGCAAGGTCTTCGCATTCTGGAGACGTAACGAAGGATTCGCTTCTTGAACGAGCCGTCGGAGTTATCGAACAGTCAGTGGCAGTCACATAACACTCCACGTTCGAGTCGTCAGCTAAACTATCATCGCAAGATTTGTCGACTATATCCTGCAATGAAAATAAGTTAAATATGCATCCTTGAGTTTTAAAATTGTAAGTATCAATTCCACCAAACATGTGAATTTTATTTTCAAAACTATTGAACAACATCATCATTCCACAACAAAAAGTACAAAAACATTCCTGAACTTTCATATAACAAAACCTATATTCTAAATTTCCATGCACATTCTTTCTTAGAAAAAGATTCCCACAGATTGCTCCTAACGTTGACACCAAAAATAGCCTAGCTGTTCAAACGTCCAATTCCACTATATCATAAATTATACTTCTCATTCCGAATTTTTCATTCGCAAAAGAAAGATTAAAAAATTATCATTTTTCATTATTAACGTTTAAACATTCCTATTCCTCTACTGTCAAAAAAATAATCTAATTAACCCCAATCCACGCTACAACGACCTTAGAAATCTAAACAGTCACACTATTCTCCACCCAAAACATGCAAACGAATCCCCAAAAACTTCGTCTAGAAAATAGTCAGTGTAACAAAAATCTACTCATTACAACAATCCAATGATAAATCTCACATCGGCACTCTCCTGCCCACTCCTGTCATCTCCCGAAAGCTGCTCGCAAGTCTCCATCCGAGTCTCGCTCTCGACAGCTTTCTTCAAAGAACTCTCCAGCAAAGGAGACGGTACTCTTCCAGCTGCCCCATCGATCAATGGTGCCGTGGTCGGCATCCCTGAAGTCGTTGAACTCCAGGCAGTTCCTTTCACAGCAGTAACCGTGGATTTCGGTTGAACTTGTGCAGTGGATGAAGATGTTGCAGACGAAGAGGACGTAGGAATCGACGAAATGGTAGCGGAAGTGGGTTGAATCGACGAGGAAGCGGTGGTAGCCGGTGTGGACGATGACAATGAGAACAAAGATGAAGCGGAGGACATGGCGGACGACGACATAGGAACTGGACGAGTCCTGGCGCCCGCCTCGCAGAGTCTAGCGTCCAGTTTCTCGGCGAGCCGCGTCACTTCCGCCAGCCTCGCCGAGATCGCCTCCACCGCTGTCAAGTTACTGACTTTGCCCGGGCCATCCTCCGCCTCAGACATTCTAGAAAAAATAAATTTCCGTCGTTTTCACTTCCCAGACTATTAATAGTGCTTTCCTACTGGAACCAGAGGTCTGCGCACTCCGCGAAGGATGTGCTCGTTGGTTAAAGCTGTTGGTTAGGTGTTGGGAGGGCTCCTTTGGGACTGTGTGCAAGATTTCTGATCGAGTATTGGTAAACCAGGTTGAATGGCTGTAGCAATGTTTTCGATCAAAGGAAGAGAGTGATCGAGGTGGACGTTGTACAGACATGGAGTTGGATAATGTTCATGGTGGAGGGAAAGAGGATTGTACGTGTCTGGTGTAGTGTACTGTGGTAGAGTGGTTTAGTAATTAGGGATTATTATAATTGCGTTATTGTAAAATAATTTTTATTTCTTTTGTTTTATTATTATTTTGGTATTAGGAAATCTTATTGGTACGTTTATTATTGTACTTTTGTTTTTTAATATTATATGGTTATATTTATTATTGTGTGTATTGGTAGTATGTTTTACTTTGTATAATACGTTAAAGAAATGAGAACATTGATTTTTGTGAAGTTTGTATGTTATTCTAAATCTAGTGAGATTTTTTATTGAGGAAACAGGTTTCCGTTGCTTTCTGTTTCGTTTTACTAAGTTTTGTTAGAGTGTGTTTGAGTGTATTGAAGAAGAAGGAATTCTGAACGCCACTGTCGGTGTGCCGTAAATCTATCGAATTTCTGTGCTGCGGAAAACGATCGGGGATCCATTGATCGGGAAATTGAAACGCGGCCAGACGCTTTCGGAAAACGTCAAATTTCAAAAGTGTTACGTAATGGATAGTGACAGCGCCGCAACCAAGCGTCGCGGACCAGATGGTGGTTCCAATGTGGGGCGTAGTTCTAATTTCGGTGAACCGAGAGACGCCGAATCTGCACAGGATTACGTTTGAGCGGCATATTCAATCTTTACTGCACACAATAAAATCCCGTGAAGTCTTCGACACGGCTGCAACCCATTCCATCATCGAAAATATCCGCAGCTTCGTGTACATAATCACAAAACTTCTGGGTACCGAGATCAGTTTACCAAAGAAAACGGGAAAAGTAAAAATTATCATTAAAGCTGTTAAAAAATCTACAGAATTCCCTAAAATTCGAATTCTTATTAATACATTTTTTCTCAATTATTATTTACGTATTATATCTGTTATTAATTATTATTTTTCATTGAAGAACACTTCATTAGTTTTACTACAGCGTGCTCTAAATTTCTCAGTAATTGTTCATACATAAATGAAAGAAGAAGAAACCATGATAAAATCATTCAAAAAATTAATACAATATATGAAAAAGTCAATAAAAACGTACACTTTATCGTTTTAACACTATTAAACCCAAGGTAAATTTAACAATCAGAAATTTGTTGCATGGGAGTGCAGTAAAACATTCAGAACATCTTAAATGATACAAAAAGTATTTTACGTGTGGAATTATACGCAATACATCTGGAGGCTTGTGCATCCCTATTTATAAAGAGACATTCGAAGTTCGCCTGCAGATAAATCGTCCTCACTAAGAACTGTGGGAACGATTCACTTCAACAGAATGGCACAATTAATTTATCACATAAAAATGAATGATCATTGTTACAAAAATAATAGCCACGATTACCGTTAAAATAAGACATAATTAATATAAGCCCTGATAATACTGTTATAATATAGATATTCTTGGTCTATCCCGATATTATATAACCCCATTTATATTTGATAAATAAACATTACTATTCCGTATGAAAATATATGATCATAAACTATCACGAGCGCTCTATGTCCGGCTCGATTTTAGGGGCCATTTATCCGCGTATTCGCGGCATGGATCGAAGCCAACGAGTTTTCCTTGCGGACCGCTCGCGATGCAGAAAGCTCCTACACGTGTTTTAACAAAAGGAATTTCAGAAGAACGACGCCCCTTTGATAAGAACCTTAAATAAACGTAACAACCCGCGAAAGAACAAAAGACAATGACGCGCGGGCGTAACGTTAAGCGTCCCACAACTTTGGAACCACGCCAGCGGACCAATATTTTCCGGATTCAAAACTTTCAGCACGGATTCCCGCAGATTTTCAACGAAAACCCTCGACTTCCAGATGCATAAAACGCCGCGCGTTACAGTTTCAATGGCCCTGACCGTCCAGTCGCCGGTGAAAATGGAACATCTCTATGAATACAAGCGACGGAGGACACGAGAAAACACTGGCGACCCATATTCATCGTACTAACGCGTGGGAGAATGACAAAACTGGATGCAACACGCGACAGTTGTGTTTTTGAAATGATACTATCATAGTAAAATTAACAATTCGGTATAATTCGAACCGTTTAAAACGGTTGACTGCCTTTAACTGGTACCCAAAGAGTAATATAAGCAGCTTACATACGATTCGATACGTTTGATCGAAGAATGTATTACAAAATCTATTACCAAAGTAACTAACAAAGTTTAAACGATAGTACTTCAATATTCTGCTTCAAAATAAAGTGATAGAAGTAAATCTAAGAATTTAAAAGAAAGGATGCGTTTGATCATTTGATCGAAGAATCTGTTAACGAATGCGACCAAGAGATTTAACTAGTATCAAATTTAACGCTAAATGTACCCACACTTTATACGCCTATTCCTACCGTAACCAATCAACTAACTTTATAAAACAAAACTAAACAAGTTAGCCGATAAATTTCTCTTACTGGAAACAGAAACAGGAAGAAAGACGAAGAGCCAATTAATCGGACAACATAGAAATCGATAGAAAGTTGAATGAACGAAAGAAAACGCAGAATTCTCAACCAAATTTTAAAACCGGTCTCGGTACGTTTAGCGTGAATATGTAAGTACCAAGTGAAATACAAAGAAACGAATCACTTAATTTTATTCTAGTTGAAAGTAAGAGCTTTTTTTCTGCATGAAGGTTATAAGTTCCGGATCCAGCGATGATTTAACGAGGAGTATGGAGGACAGAACGATTCCAGAATCGCTGACGTGTAGACGTGTAGGCCGACGACGTTTAACGGTAATGTCGAAGCGTCAGGACTTACTTATGCACCGAATTTCAAGGTGTAGGTGACTCGTCGACGTGCAGCCATGGACTGACACACCGCGTCCGTTAAAAACGGCGGTGCCCGTCGGCGTGCCCCCCGCGCGCCCCGGCGCTCGCCTCTTAAATACAGACTCCGTCTGCCTCGGTCTTTCTTTCGGCGGGATCGTAACTCGCCGGAGCTTGATCCGGATTTCTTCGATTTCGCGAGGACCAGAAACGCCACGACCGAGTTACACGCACGTTTTATTGCTTTAACCCGATTGCATTGACAGATGCATGGGGTGTTCCGGTATTTCACCGGCGAACAGTGTCAGTCTATTCTGTGACTAGGTCTTGAGAATGGATCAGGTGTTAACTCGATTTTTATTTTGTATATGATGTCCTTTGCTTTGAGCTAGTCAGTTGCTTTACGATACCTTTTATAATTAGGAATGTCAAAAATGTTTTGTTGTTAATAATTTATTGGGAATAAAATAGATGAATTTTGTATGTAATATTTTGTATTCTAAGTTGAACACTTGTCTTATGATTCGTTTTGTAATTGCGACTATTAGGACTATTTTGTTAATAATAATTTATTAGGTGTAAAATAGATCAATTTTGTGTGTAATACTGTTTATTCTAATTTAATCAGTTACCCCATGATTTCATTCACAACTATGAATGTCAGGACTACTTTATTGTCAATCATTTACTAGAAATAAAAATCAATCTCATGCTCTATATTCATAAATAGTTACAGCGAGCTCTAATTTTTGGTAAACGCAACTGAATATGACGTTTCCATGCGGCATTAAACAAAAAATCAACCCTTTATAATTTCGTATTTCACTACTTAATAACACAATCGCGTAACATCTATTTCTTATTTTCAATCGCGAAGCGTGTTGAGACTGTGTGACGGTAAAAAAAATCGAAGCACCCTGTACGTTAGACGAGGAAGATCCAAGGACACATGGCGTCGATTCGGAAAGCTCGGAAGCTCAAAACGATGCCAAACATCTGGACTCGGTTGAAAAATTAAACATTTAGTTAAACATTTCGCGTTGTGTTAATTGAAACTGACACTCCAAGGTGGATCGATCAAATGTCAGTTTGTTAAATTAGTCCTAATCGATCGATCCAATTGGTCGATTACATTAGTCCTGATCGATCGATCCAATTAATCGATTATATTCTTAATCGATCGACCGAATTAGTCGATTATATTCTTAATCGATCGACCGAATTAGTCGATTATATTCTTAATCGATCGACCGAGTTATAATCGACTATATTAGTTCCGATCGAGGACCATTTCTCAAAGCAGATTTTCGAGATTTTCGAAACGAAATTACGATCACTGGCGTACTTGCCGTTGATGGCACAAGGGCTCCTTAAGTCTGGTCCTCAAGAGCCGACCCAGCCGCACCATTCGGCCGACTTCGAGCAGAAGCTTCTCCCGATCGCCCAGGATGTCCCTTATCTCCGCCCTGTCCCGCGATTCCGCAGACAAATCATCAGTCTTCAGCGATCGACGCAGGCATCCCACTGCCTCGATCAGGTCGCGTAACTTCGAACAGTGCTTGAAACAGATATTTTCCGAAATAAAACCATCGTTCTGTGGTCGATACTTTTTTGTAAGTGGCACTATGTATTTTTAACTTCATAGCATACCAGTTGGCGTCGAGATGAGTTCAATGACTTTGTACTGTGGTTTCCAACGGTTTTCAATGAACTCGATAATTAATTGTAAGATCAATTATGGATAAAGATTAATTATAGATACAGATTAGTTATAGATAAAAGCTGTAGGTTTTTAAGAACATTGTATTATTAAAAAATATCAAAATGTGCATATAGAGCAAACAGAGAGAAAATCGAATGAAATATTTATGGGAAATTTGAAAATTCAAAATTGCACTGAATACACACGCGATACATAAAAATATATAAACTATCTAAAGAACAGTGTCGTTTATATGTTTGCCATGAAAAACCCTTTTCATTTTTGTTATCAATTATTTAATAGTGATCACCGTAAGTACATACATCTTCGACGCTCCTATGGAAAACAGCGCAAACTCTCAGCCTCGTTAATTGTTCTTGTCCAACGGATCGAAGCTGCTTCCAAGCTTGACGTAGTTTCAGAAAAAGGTTCATATTGCTGTCCAAAGGCAGTCTGCAGGATAATCTCAATACTCTAGCACCGTTCACCAATTGACAACCGTAATCATAGGTCCCCTAAAAACACCAAGAAAAAACCAATCTGTAAAATTTTCAAAAGTTTTCTTTGAAACTTTTCTCGATTTCTATTTTTAAATGTCACTATTCACAGTTAAAACGTTGAATGCCGTGGGGATTATCAGTGACTCCCAACCAAATGGAATTACTATAGTTCATCCAATTAAACGGTGATTATTTAAAAACATTTTTACATTATGAATAATGCTACCTAATGCAGTGGCATTCAGCTGGAGTAACAATAATAATAATACAATTCAATTAAATGATTTAATATTATATTTTTTCTATTTTGTGTATTTCGCTCTGTGAAATCCTGCGGTATTCAACGTGCTAAGTATAATACATACAGCATTCCATATAATGCCATCAAGAACTCAATACTTCAGTACATCGACAATGATACTGTTCAAGTATTTTCCAAAATATCTTCCAACAAAATTTAGAATTCTAATATGCAACAGTAACATAAAAGTAACGAATGATATAAAAATTACCTTCGCAGTTTCTTGGAATGACTGATGTTCTTCTTTCTGCTTCTGTATTTCGATTGTGTTACAACCGATCTCCATATGATTCTTCAAGAGAACATTGTACAAATCGTTCAGCCATTCAACAGCCTGTAAGACAAGCATCTTAGCAAGTAGCTCGCGTTTCGCTGAAAGAATAAACTCGAAGGCAGACGTTGTCACCTGTTCCGTATCAGTTTCGTAAGTGTATATCAACGCGATTTGCTTCAAAGACAATTTCTGCAATTCGACGCTGTCGTTGAAGATATTTTTCCTGGCGTTCGTTGCGTCTAGGATGTCTCTGACGTTCACAATATCTTCGCCGTAATCGACGCGTACGTCTCGACCCAACGCATCCTTCACGGGCATCGACAGTATGTCCGATAATTTTTCTCCTTCTTTCACTAACTCGCATTCTAGAGTTTCTGAAAAAGTCGAAAACTATTATTGAAATAAAAATCTTTTATCTGGGAACACTCTCTGCAATTGAATAATCTTAGAATAATCATAGATTAGTATAGATTATTATAGATTATTATAGATTATTATAGATTATTATAGATTATTATAGATTATTATTGATTATTATAGATTATTATAGATTATTATAGTTTATTATAGATCATTATAGATCATTATAGATCATTATAGATCATTATAGATCATTATAGATCATTATAGATCATTGTGGATTACTATAGATTACTACTGATTACAATTGATTACTATTAATTACAATTAATTATTTTTTATTATTGATTGATTACTTTTCTTTTCTTTCGATTATTATTACTTGCTGTTGACTGTTACTGATTACTAATGATTACTATTAATAACTCATAATTTAATATTGTTATGTACCAAGACTCGCTTGACTCTGCTCCAGCTTCAATAAATTCGCAGCCGCCTGAGAAAAGTCGTGGGTTCTGTTGCCCATCACCAGTCTATCGAATACTTCACTGGTTTTGTCGAAGTACTGAAACACGAAAAATAAGGTCAGGTCGAGTCAAGTCCATCATGCTTTCTCCTTAACTCGCGTACCTCGGAAACGAGTCTGAAGAATCTTTGCGAAGTAATTAACACGTTCCTTCGCCTTTCGAGCCTGGTTGCAAAGCTTCGACACACAAAGTCCATAAAGTCCCTCTGAGATTTCAGATCCTCGGACAGTCGTGTGCTCGGTAAACTGTCGATTTTGTGAAGTAATTCCGCGTATCGACCGTAAGTTTCCTGCAAAATTAATTTCAACGAATTGTTCAACAAAAATTAATCTTTTCTCATCTTAATATTCTCATAGAAATATTTTATGATTTATTTTACTGATATTAAAACAATTTACTTAATTACTTAATTACTTCCTCAATAAAATGCAAATGAATATTCCAAAATTGACATATTCGTTGCAGGCAGAATACTTCGAACCAAATCAAAACTCCGTCAACCTTTAGTAATTATCTCAGTGCTAAAATACTAAAATCAATTTCTTAATTATCTACTTCTTCCATTAAAACCAATGTTTCATTTCAATATTTCAAATATCGATGCATTGTACAAAGTCTAATATTAAATAACAAACTTTACAATTTTCCTGTGTCAAATCAATTGGCGACTGACAGGCGCCTCTGGAGTGGAAAGGGTTAATTATAATTCATAGCGTAACTACAAGTGATGTATAGGGTGTCCCAGGTTTTAATGTTCAGACTTTGTCAGTATATTCTATGGTACTAAATAAGAAAGAAATATTACGTAAACATAGGTCACATAGAGGTTTATTAAAAAGTCATAATATAAATACAGAATACAAGTATTGTACGAATAGTAATCGACTTGCTGTTATTGCGAGCATTGTCTTGAAGATATCAGCAAGATTTACGTATTAGTTAACTCTGGAAGTAACAATGTCAAGTACTAGATACATTGGTCTATTCGAGTCAATGCTCACAGTAACAGCAAGTTGGTTACTATTCCTGTATTATTTCTATTTCGTATCTTTATTATAACTTTTTGATAAACCTCTATGTGACCTATGTTTACATAATACTTCTTTCTTATGTAATGACTTATGTAGTGCCATAGAATATACTGACAAAGTTTGAACATTAAAATCTGGGATACTCTATATATAACATTATTAAGTAGATGCTGAAATTGAAAACATCATTGTTTAATACCCTGCACTCGAGCTCCAATTCCTCGTGCCGCCTTCGAAGCTCTTCCGAGGACGAAACGTCGAATCCAACCTGGCAACAGGAATTCAACATTGCGTCAGCTGGTCCAAGGATCCAGTCGGTGACACGGGACACACCCTTCTCGAGATCGCCGATCACTCTAGCGGTGTCCAGGTTTCTTTCCATTTCGGACCAGGAATTTTCGATGTCCACCTAAAAGAACGAAAAAGCCAACTTTCAAATTTGCATAAGCGTAAAACCGTTTTCTTCTGTTTAGAATGCCATGAGTGTATACCTTCTTCAATTCGATTGAATCGATAAGCTCGTGGATTCGTTTCGTTGTGTCCAAGACATCCTTCGAGGACACCCTGCTCATTCCATTCACCAAGGATCTGCCTGAAAAACCATCAGTTTTCATTATAGTCATGCGATATGTTTGATTCATTTCTTGACTGCTAAATATATTACTTACTTATTTTATAAATTATAGAATGTATATTATAATTATTTATTCAAGTTAATAAAACTTTTCATATATTCTTTGACTTATTTCACTTTTAATGGAAACTTAAAATAAAGAGAAATTTTACTGCACAGTTTCGTAACAAAATTATGATCCACGTATGAAACTTCCAGTAATACTAACAAATATGCTGAGAACACAACAATTTTTCTAAAAATCTTCTTTCAAAATGTTCTTTAAAATAAATTTCTAATCGTTCCTGGATCTTAATTAGTACCTAAACATTTCCTACGCTACACAATTAATCGATAACACAGTTAGACATCATGAAACAAAATTACTTAAAAAGAAAATCAATTTATATACGTTCCTTCACACTTCATATTTCTTAACAATTTTTCATTTCTTCGCTTTAAAATATTCGTTTCGTTACATTCTCATAATAACAAAGATAACTCAATTCATCCACAAGTTAATATTCTAAATCATCCAATAAATCATTTGCATCGTTCCACTCTCATAACAATAAAAAAACGAAATTAATTCAACCACCAGTTGCCGCTATAAATTATTTACTTATCGAAAATGGTAACTTTCGTCTTCAATTTGAAATGCGCGCGGAAATGCGATCTCTCTGGAAATCCCTCTTCTCTTAACACTAGAACCTCCGAGCATTTAATACGATTAATTTATAACCCCCTATAAAAATTCTAACAATACATTATGTTCACTTTTTTCAGTTCCCTCAGTTAAACGATAATTATTTGAAAACACTCCTATATTGTTAATAACGCTACCTAATGCAATGCTATTTAGCAAGACAAACCTACGATAGTAACAACGCAATTCAATGAAATAATTTAACATCGTATTCCCTTCATTTCACATATTTTACATCTTAAAATCGTGCGGCATTTAACGTGTTAAAATAGTATAGAAATCTTCATCACGAGTCTCATTCGTCATTGCATGGCAAGGGGTTAATCAAAAACCGGAAGGCGAATCAGACAGAAAAAGAAGATGCCTCGCGAGAACGAAGAAAGAAAATCGTGCAGCGTACGCGAACATGCGAGCCGCATTGTCTGTGCTCGTCGTTTTTACACTCTCGCGGCCACATGATCGTGCTTGTTACCTAAGGAGCGCACTTATGCTGGACATCCGGTTAAGCCGGTTTTTCAATTTTTGCGGGCAATCTAGCTACAAGTGTCTATCCCGCCGCGCGACTGGCTTGATTACCGACTGTCTAGAGTAGGGAATATCTATTGGGCTAGGCACAGGTGGGCAAATTTCGTCGCGATTTTCGGGCAACCCCAATACCGCGCGTGGGGTACTTGCCCGATTTGGCTGGCTAAAAGTTCATTTTACAAATTTTACCTAAACTGTAAAATCTTTGCTGTTTGAGATAGCCGAATAGGTGAGGAACAATGTCCTAATAATTTGTTTATCCTTGGAACACTCGAAAACTACTGAGCTCCCCGAAAGTTAAGCATTTTCCGCCTAAGCGTTATTCCTCGCGGCACTTTACATATGTTTTATAAATGTACGAATTTTTCTTTAGCACCAAATTTCTCAGGTAAGTATATGTACTATGGTTTTAATAACTCATTACCTTTTTACCATGAATCTTTATGTAAATATCTACATTTTAATATAACTAATAAAATTTGATATTTATATTACATAATTGTAAAGTTTGATATTGAATATTCAGCTTTACATAATGCATCAGTACGTAAAATATTGAAAAAAGTTGTTTTGTTTCTGAATTTATGTGCGATTTTTGGTTAAGGTAGTTTTAGAAAATGTCGTCTGTATCTCATCAGAAAATGTTAAGTATTTCCAGTGAAACATTGGAGTATGTAAGGTTAACACTACAACGAAGGAATTATTGAATTACCTTTTAGATTTCCAATATTATGATTGTAGTGGCCCTAATTTTTTGATCATCAATTTGTTTATGTTTACCTGTCTGTAGAACGTATCTTGCTATAGATGTCAATTCAGTGCTCGTCTCCCAATAGGTTTCTATGTCGTCGTTTGACTCCGACATGCGAAATGCGTCCAGGCTGCTCATTCTTTGGTGCAGGTCCGTCATCTTTGACACGAGATCTGTGGCGTCCTTGATGCAATCCTCCACTTTCTGTAATATTAACAAATAACAGTATTATCGAAGGTGACAATTTATTTAGGAAAAGGAACGAGGAAAACCAAACTTATTTGAATTTCGATATTCAATATTTAAATACTGAATATCAAATGTATCAAAGTTATTTAAATTTTAATATTCAATATTAAATATTCAGTATTGCCTAATTGCATTCAATGATCAATATTTAACATCATATCAGTATCACGAATTCCAGTATATGAGTATGTTACCGTGCAAAGTGTTAAAATATTCGTATGTTGAAATGTAAATGAAGTTATCATTGGAAATGGATGAAGTTGAATATTTAACAGAAATAAATTGGAATTTCCTTCGTTAGACTTCGTGATTATCGAAGCTTACCACGCGATTCTGAATCCACTCTGTATGATCGTACGATTTGTTGCCGCCTAACTCGTACGGTAACTGCGCGAAGTCAATGTGAAGAGGCAGCCTGGTCAGGATAAGGTATGTCGGCTGAAACAGCGACGACGCGAATAATCGAATTAATTTGCATCGCGCCGCTCGAATAAACCTCTAATTTAAGTAGGTACATATACACTCGCCGCTGATCCGATCTTTAAACGTACAACTCGACGCAAAAGCTGCGATTAAGATGACAACAGGTTTAACAGGGTTCAGAGGAGACGAGTAGAATTTTTTCCACGAAATTCCAGAAAAATGTGGGACTGAACTAGCATGTAATGGAACAGGTGTGACTAGTTAGTATGGAGAAATTTTAAATGATGTAACTAGCGGATACACGTCATAATTAAAAATCGTAAAAGATTAACTACGATGTCACGTGACATGTAATTTAAATTTTAAATAAGTTTTCTAATTAAAAGTAAACCATTTTGTGATAAATACTGCAGATCATGTGATAGAGATTTTATATAAATATTACTAAAATATTATTAATCTAATTCTTATTAAACCAAATAGGTTACACTATCTTTTTATAGACGTAAACACTAAAATCAGAAAATAGATGAAAATAAATTTGAGTAATTATAAAGTAAAAATATTTATTGAACTATTCAAATATTTGATACTTTAGATTTTATGTTTTAAGACATTTTTTTATCTAGAAGTTTAAAAATGTCAGCTAAGTGATTGAATGGATCTTCTTTAACGAATATTCTATCGAGGACGATTTTTAGAGATAATTTATTAATTACGTATATGGATACGAACCTCTCCTTCCTTATGAGATCTGGTGCAGCTGTCCACGCGCTTGTCCCAGAAACCTTCTGGTCGCACAACGATCACAGAAGTCGAGTACGATTCAAGAAGAACCATTGACAGCCTTATGCAAGACCTCGCTACACGCCACGCGCCCTTCCGTGCGTCCACGACCAGGACTAACCCATTTCCCTTCGTCTCCTCGCTAACAAGTAACGCATTCCTCGTGACCCGATTCCATGATGGCGGAGCCAATCGCTTTGCAATACATAAAATGTCCGTCTTTTAAAATTGAAGTTCATCCATCCAATTATCTAGATCGAATTCGAGATTAAATCGTACGATAGAATTAAGAATCCTTAATCAAATAATAAAACCTATATCGTTTATGAAAATGTCAGCTGTACCAATGAAATGTTTTTTAAAAAATATTTATAGATCGTTTGTGTCACGATTTCGATTAACAAGTTCCTTTAACTGTCAATATTCTATGAATCGAATTAGATCGAAATTGGTATTCAAGTATAGAAGATAAGTAAGAATGCTTAAATCAAACCTCTTACCAGACTTATACACGGACATTTTATATATCACAAAACATTATAGTAATCACTAGATCTATTGGTTATAGACAATTACAATATTGACAATTGCAACGTTCCCAAAATTTTCGCACACCAATTTTCAAGGTTTCAAACAATTATTTGCCCACAATAGTAATCTCAACTTGCCCTTTATAGTTACTATGCATTGACAATTTACCAGAAAGAAAGGAGAATCCCGTGTACACCTACACCCACGTGCAATTTAAATGATGACAATTGATATCAAGAAAATAGCATTTAACTTAAGAATTTTAACTCCTAAGAATTCGATAACATTTAACTTAAACTCCTAAGAATTCGATAACATTTATATTCCTCAAATTCCCGTTTAAAAACCCCGTCACGAGTCAATCAAATATTACGAAAGCTAAAGACATAATTACCTAAAGATCGACAAGAAATACGTTAGAAGCGACTCCAATCTGGGTTTCGTAGTGGGCTGCAGCTCCGATGGTACGTTGACGACGATCAAAGGTCTTCCCTCGCGGTCCCGTCCCCCTGGAATGTATGCGAGATTCGATTCGAGGGCTTCCAAAATGTCAACCGCCTCCAAATTCTTCGCGGGCATGGCTGCGATTGTATCATCCCTCACGTTTTCGTCGTTAACGCCCGGAATCCCCGCAGATTTCTGTCACGCATGTTGATGCGCTGATCCGGAGTAGACGCACGACAGAGATCGGCCAGGTAAACGATCGATATCACGGCTCGATCACGATCGAGGAATTGTGTTACGCGCGAGTCAGCTACGCCGACTGCAAAAACAGCCTCGTGGTTTGCATACCGCGACAAGTTTCACCGGGGGCAACCGCACGACCACGTCGTATACATCATCCCAAGGAAATCGGTTCTTACGGGGTCGCTCACACCTAGGAACGATAAAGGTAAGATTACATTCTAGAATGATTATTTGATTTTGCATTTAAAAGGGCATATTAAAAATCAATAGATAAATGTTGCGTTACATTTCTCCAGTTTATTTCCTGTGGAGCTTTCTTTTCTCTTGTACCGACAGACTCTATTCACGCGATTTTCATTCGCATAACATAAATTCACATATTTCACCGAATAACTGTGGTTAGGTATTAACACTAAATAATGTACCGGCACTTTGTATGTACCAATTCCTACCGTAACTAATCAACTAATTGGTTATAAAATAAAGGCAAACAAATTAAACGATAACTTTTCTTATTGGAATAGGAAAACAGAATGAAAGACAAGAATTGAAAAACCGATTAATCGGACAATATAAGAATTGATATAAAGTTAAATGAACGGAGGAAAACAAAATTTTATTTGACATTTTAAAACCGGTCATTTGACCGGTCGCGGTACGTTTAGTGTTAACCTGTTGTCGTACGATTTATTTCTCAACTATGATCGATACAACTACTTTGTCATTAATAATTTATTAAGAAAAAGGATAAAATAATAAGCATATTCTATATCAATCTTTACTGCAAGTATGATAATTGACAACAGAAGAACAATATTTAACTTGAATTCAAAAGAATCGAGTAATGTTCGTGCCTGTTAAATTCTGTTTAAAATCTTCACCACGAGTCTGACACGTTATTGTAAGACAAGGGGTTAACCTCTTGCGCTAAAATTTTATTTAGAGATTTGTCTTGCAAGAAGAATGTTGTTTTTAACTATTTTACGCGGATACAAGTAAGTATATAATTTTGGAATAAAAATACGTCGATACGCGTGGTACGTCCTTCCAGCGCAAAAGGTTGACACGTTTGCTATTTATCAAAATCGAATATTTCACATTTGACGATCAGTGTTCCGTATTTCGAGCAAAAAGTGATAAATTACATTTACATGTGTTTTCATCTAATACGGAAACGCATGGTATAATGCAGAAGGAATCGCGAAGATGTTTTTCTTCGTTATTATTTGCGTTTTGTAAAAACGGTATGTTCTATTTAATAAACTATTGTAACCGCAGAGACTGTTTAAAAAAAAACTCTGGCAGCGGATGTATTAATTGGTTTTGATAATGGTTATTGAAGATTTCGTAGATAAAGTAGTCGATAATGCCGGATACGTAGCGGTTCGCGAGGAACAGGTTTTTAATAATGGCAGTTGCGGTATCCACGATGTTTTTTGTGTGGATAGAGAAATTGAAATGTTTCTTTATAGTGGATGAGTGAAATTGTTGCTGAAATCGTGGGTGATTCCAAGAATAATACTTTTTGAAAGTTGATAGCTCCTTTTGATCGAGGAATGTTTCTTTATTGTGAGAATTGTGAGACTTTTCTAGAAAGTTGACGAAAATTGAATGAAATTAGATGAGTAATCGAAATTATTTTCACTTGGAAACAATTCGTAAAAATCTAATCCTTGCTCAATATTCAGGTCAGCTTAATCTGATACATACACCTACTTACATTCGTCTAAACGTCATTGTCTCACAAAGATCTCGAAACAATACAATTACAAAATATTAAAACCTTCCCAATTCAGTCCGAATTTCCACAATCCTACCTACAAACACAAACAGAACACTAAACAAAACCCCTCACCACAATTTCCACATATAACCAGCACTCTCCTGAATACTCACATGAATCATTCATTTTCAACAGCTCTCCAACGAAAGTTCAAAGTCCGTGTAACCGTACGTTCTCCAATCCCATCACTCTATCCAAATCACAAATACTACGAAGCACACATAAAATATCTACAAGATAACCCAAAACAACGTTCCCTAAAAACAGAGCAACAGCGAAAGTCGAACATTGTCATCCTCGTTCCAGAAGGTATAGGCGTCCACCTTAGCCAGCATATTATTGATTAAAGTCACACCAACGCCATCAAACCCGATCAAACAACCGAAACACTCCGATCTAAGCGAACCACTGAATATTTAATTCACCAAACACGAAACAACACCGTTTGACGTTCGCGGAAGAAAGATGTTAGTCCTGGAGTCCCGTAGGCCAGGCGCGGGTAAAAATGGCCGCAACAGCTGTCGCGAGGGTAGACGGTGCCGCAGGTGCACGCGCACGTGTCGGTCCCGCGGCGCGGCGGAAACGCGCGCGGAAATGTCGGACGCCAAATGTGAGACACCGTGTACCTACTTACGGTGGATGTCGAGGAGGAATGTTCCGAAAAGAAAAACTGTCGCGCGCTTTCACGTGCACGGGTCGCACGTCGCGCGCGCGCGCCCACGGGTCGGTCACGTGCGCGTTAAATACGTGGAAGTCGGTGTAACCGAGCGGAGAACGGAGCTGCAGCTGCGATGGAGGCTGCAGGGAAACCGAAAGCCATCTCGCTGCTCCATTCAGGTACAACGGTACTCTGGCACCGATTAACCGTCTTCCCCTTCTTCTTTCTTTCCCTCGTGGCTCTTCCTTCTCCTTTCCCGCGTGCACGACCTCTTTCTACCCGACACGACGCGACGCGACGCGTCCTCTTTTGTATTTGCAACGGAAAAATTGTTGATCGATGTAAAAATGATTATATAATGGAAAATTGGTTGGAACACGGAACAGTCAAGATAATTTACAAATAGCGGAAACTGGAAACTTAATGAATAGTTGTTGATACTAATAGTAATGCTTATTAGTATTACTTAAAATAATTTAGAAATAACTGAATCTAGTAACTTAGTGAATAGTTGTTAATATTAATAATTTACTTTTATCTTGTAACCATTTACTCGACTGCTTACTTTAGAAGTACTAATTGCTTTTCGAAACGCTGTAGATTGTAACGTGCCACGATAAACATAACGCTGTAGAACAAAAAGGCAGACATATGAAGTAGATTTTATTTTTAGATTACAATCTCAAAACCTTATTAAATACAACTATGCTTAAAAGAATGCCAGGGTGTATCTTGATGTATAACAAAATCATTCCCGAAGTTGTAAAACTACAGGAAATACCGATGATGTATTAGTTCTGTTAAAATGTCTATATTTACATAAAGATTCATGATAAAAAGGTAATGAACTATTAAAATTATAGTATATATACTTACCTGAGAAATTTGGTACTAAAGAAAAATTCGTACGTTTCCAAAACATATGGAAAGTGCCGCGAGGAATAACGCTTAGGCGGAAAATGCTTAACTTTCGGGGAGCTCAGTAGTTTTCGAGTGTTCCAAGGATAAACAAATTATTAGGACATTGTTCCTCACCTATTCGGCTATCTCAAACAGCAAACATTTTTCAGTTTAGGTAAAATTTGTAAAATGAACATTTGGCCGTCCAGATCAGGCGAATATCCCACTGTGCATCAGTGATTTCGTAAGGCACGATCTCGATTTATGTTCCATCAGAAAGTATCGGAACCGAGAAGAGGTCGAGAAACTATCGCAAAAAGAATAAATCGACGTCCGGGTGACGAGATATTTTGTACATACAGTCGCGGCGCGGAATATTTTTCTGCCGAATGATTTATAGGTGCGACTGACCTCTCGCCGGGTTACACCATGTACAGTCGGAACATGTTTCGACGTCAAGTCGAGATCGTAAAAATGTCTGAAGGCTATTGTACTCCATGGAAATAAGAAGTAAAGGATCTGATAAAAACTTGAAGTTAATGGTCTGCAGAAACCTTGAATCAGTAAGATCAATTCAAGAAAGTATATATATGAATAGTTGTAGATGATGATTATATAATACAAAATGGAACACGATACGCGCAAAATAATTTACAAATAGTTGAATCTATTAACTTAATGAATACTTTAAATGTAACTTCAAAAAATATTATTAATTACTTATAGAATTGAATACCGCATAAAAATAATTGTATCAGTTTACGCAATTATACAATAATGGTCCCACCAATTTTTGTATTCTCGCAAAATTATGCATCGAATTTACATATTTTTCATTCTAAAAATCACTGCACGAACAGCTAGATCAAATAAAAATTCCTCGTTTCAATGTTTATTGAAGTGTCCCACAGAAGACAGTAAAATGCTTTATAGTCGTTGTCCACGGTACAATGGCTAGATTGGAGTTTTAACCTATAATAATAAAAATGCTTTCCTTTCACTTTCTTGACCTATATTAAAGCCCTATTTGCGGATTCAAGTTCTTCACTATTAAAGTGTCACTGCAATCGAATAATTCTCAATAAACACACTCAAATGCCACTCTTGAAACATTACCTATTTTCTTATTCCATTTTTACAAACTTCATCCGAATCCAACAAACCAACTATACACCATCAATTTATTTTGAAATATCATTAAAGTAAAAATTCAGTCTTTAATGAATTATCTATACTAATTTACTTCTTCCAAAATGATCTTCCCTCGATTTTATGTTTGTTTATTCAAACATATTCACTGCAACTTTTATGAATATTATCGGTATTATAGTGTTCCTATATTATCAAGCAGAAGTTTCTGGTGTATTATCAATCATACTTAATGCAAGTACAAGTTTCACTAGTGAATCGTTATTAAGCTGATCAGTTCCGAGCCAAGACCTGCCCGAGAACTTTTTCGCGGCCAGTACAAGAAACCAGTACCGCTTTTTTGTGCCATCCTCGGTACGAGACACCGACGTGGTCCCACCCTGAGGTACGCGAGATGTTCACGAAGGACGAGCGCGTGTTCCCACGTTGAGCACAAAACCGCAAATTCTTTTATCACCGGAGAGTATTAACGGTCACGCGTGCGGGAAGACATCCGGGACGTCAACGTTTCGCGGGAAAATATCCCCCACTTCCGAATTTCTCGTTTTGATTACCGTTTTTCTTGCACAATGAGATAAACATTAGATCATACCATAAGTAATGTATTGTAGTTTTTGTTTATGTTAATTTATATTGTAAAAAATTAATACTTATATATCCTTTTTATTCAAAAATTAATATTTGTATTCCTTTTCTATTCAAAAATTAATACCGTACAACCTCTCCCCGTCTTCCGATTTACTTTTCAATGCCATTTTCGAAATGAAAATTGTTTAGAACACGGCATTGAAAAATGTTTTACAAATTAAGATGAAGTATGTACATTACTTGTGGGATGACATAATTTTTATGAAAACAGAGCCACCACTAATTTCGATAGTTCTTTTTTTAGACTTTGGGGATCAAATTTACCATGTTGACGATATAATATTTACATATTCAGAATAGAAAATTGCAAACAAATAATTGAGTTATTTAAGTAACAAAAGATTTTAGTTTTTGTGTATTACAAAGTTGTTATCACGAAGAAGAGGAAGATCGCATGTACCTTTACAAACACCATTTACAATTGATGGAGTGGACTTAATTCGATTCCTTGGTTATATATAACGTTAGTTTACTTTTCTTACTGAAAGCTATGCTGTTCATGTTTCTTATGACTCACGAACTTAATTTCGGTAGTACAAAATGATCCCAGCAATTTCTCGGTTTATCGAAACCACATAACATGTATTTAATTTGAAGTCGATCAAAATTTAACCGAGAATTTGTTACTTTTATCAATTCGTCGATAAATATTATCGAATCTTTCGAGTAAACTTCGTTTGATCAGAATATTTTAATAAACTACGATTCTTAATTGAAACTTTCTAAACTCTTCTCAAGATAATGATCTAAATAACATAGATACTATCTAAAAAGTCACAGAGTGACTCTCTTTTTCTTTTATTAATACTCTTGTATTAATACTCATCCACAAGCGATTAGAAAGTAAAATAAAGGAAACAAGAAGAATGAACTTCAATTTTCTCGTTTCCCGTTTCGTTAGCCGGATTTAAAGGCATCAGCAGGCTATGGCGCATGTAAAAGCATTTTGTTGCTTGGTGGCACGCGCATGAGTCAAGGTCAGTGACCGGCGTTGACCAAACACTGTGAAAAGCAAGGTGTGTCGCGGTAAATACGAATAAGTACATGTATGATGCATTCCTGTCGATCTATCAGAGAGAACGATCAAATAAAGGTCAATCGACGAATAACAGGCTTATAGCAGAGTACCGGATAGTGACGTCACTGGCATCTTCGCATCACCGGAAACCCAAGTTGGCGAACGATGTGACCACGTGGTTTGTCACGGTAATAGCTTAATACAAGCAAGTATTGTTAATTAATACTGTATAATCGATATAGAGTAATAAATAATAAGTAATAATAAATAAGAATAATAGTAATAATAAATTCAGAATATTTAAATTATATACAAATACCAATAAAGGAATCTAAATTCTTTTAAACTGTATTTTAAGATACCCATTGATAACTCAGTCAATTTACTTATTTCATAAAAGCAATTTTACAATGATTTCAACAATTTGAGAACAGAAATTACGAATAGGTGATTCAGATCGGTTCAGTAATCCCAACATTAACCTCCATTCCGTTTCCCCTTCAATTGCTTCATAAGCGTGCTCCAAATACCCGAACCAACACACCAAAACAAAATCTAATTTAATATTCTAATTTAATTCCTAATTTCATACTAGCTTTTATTCACTTTTATAACTGTACAGTGGATCTTGTGCATTTATCCCAAATATGAAAGCATAGAACATTATTACTTCATTTTCGATTGATTAAGGTCCTTTTGAAAGAAAAAACTAATTTCTAGATAATACCCGCCTCTTCAACCACTTTGCGAAACTTTTATTTTACATAAAAATCCGATGTCTACTTCTAACAATCCTACTTCCTCAACTATTCTTAAAACATACATCAAACCATATAAAACCACATACAAACCTCCGAAACCCCTACAAATCATCTACAATCTCCAAAAGCCCATCAAAAATTAATCCTTCACCAATATACTAGATACAAAGTCTTAACTCCAACACCTTTATCCGTCAATACTCAATCATCATTTACGCCAGTTCCTAAATCCAAAAATATCCATAACGGAAGCATCGGTAAACCGAAATCAATAAACGAATACCAGCATCAATAACTAAAGAAAGAAGAATCCAAGAAACCGAAAGGAAACCGGGAATTAGGTGGCGTTGAAGGGTTAATTCCGCGTCGGCCAGGAGGTGTCAGCCAAGTCCACCTAGATGGTCTGCCAGCCTACGCGACGACCGGGTTACATAACGCGGCGAACAATAATCAAACCGCGTCCGCGTTTTCAATCATCGTTCCAACACCGATGAACCACCTAACGGGCAATTTCGAGAATCCTGAGGCGGGCGGCGCGGAAGCGTCTTGAGGGAAACAAAAGCGTACACACGTATCGCCGGGTAGGGGGAGGGACAAAGATAGATCCCTGACGAGGAAGATCCCGAAGAGATGCTGGCGTCGCCACCGGTCGTCGGTCACGAAGAGGTGTCCGCCAGGCAGTGCTGCACCGAGCCTCGCGCTATATCGAGCCAAACCCACTCCCATCTCTCTCTTTCTCTCTGTCTCGCTCTCTTTCTCGCACACACGTACACACTATC